GAGAGTACCGAGTGTGGAGCAAATGAATGGTAGTTTCTGTCATGTCATGCTGGGACTCCTGAGGCTCCATGACTGAAAACAAGAGTGTAGCGAAAGCAGTATCTTGTGGGACAGAGTCGTAGTTCTCTCTGATCACAGTTTGGACAACGTGCTAATGTTTTCACACCTAGGTTCTTCAAGTAAGGCCCGAGTATTTAAACCTGAAAGGAGGAGACCAGCCCTCTGCACTCCCATCTCCCTCATTTTGCCCTACTTATCGCTACTCATTACTTCCAGGGTGCTCAGACTAGTGAGCAGCGCTTGACCGCTTCCTATATCATCTGCAGGCAAAGCATCTGGGATAGCTCAGATTAGTCATTAAAACCATTTAAGCTAACCCAGCTGTTCTTCTTGGCAGCAACTGGCATGAGTTTAGATGCTATGTGATAATAGGTAATTCCCTCTGGGTGGGAGGCAGGAACAAGAGGCCTCTTCCAGTGTCTCAGCCAGTTGCTGCACGGTGATGTCTGTCCATGCACTTAATATTTCTTCTTGCATGTAAGAGCAGGACACAGTTAGTAAGGCAGGAGACTAAGGTGACGTTCTTGGCTGTGCTGCAGGCTTTTATTGCCTATTGCTGGAATTCTAGATCTATAAAACAGAGGGATTAGAAGCAAAAATTCACTCGTTAGCATTAAAAAAAGTTTTAAATTCTTGGATGGAAGCATGGGAGAGAAATCTGCTGCTACTGTCATAGCTTAGATGCAGAGAGGAACCTGTCATTGTAAGACATTGCACTATGTCAAGTATGGCTACTAACACACATTAGATTACGTCCATGTGGGCAGGAGCAGATAGATTCATGTGCCTTCCACTCCTACTCTAAACAGGCTGAACACAAAGCCAGTTCTGGCCCAGACGTGCTTAGTGCCCTGTTAAGTTTACCACATCCCCTCTCCTAAATTTGTTATCTAAGGCACAGTGCCGTGCTGATGCAGCAATGGAGTATCACATCTGACTGGGTATAGTTTCACAGTGTGGGATCTCTGGCACCAGTATGTGTTTAGAGAGTCCCTGTGCCCCCTTGTCCTGCATACTTGCTCCCACACTTCACAGCCCTACCCTACCACTTGGGCTGACAACTGTTTCTGTAGCTATGCTGGAAACTGGATCAGCAATCTGATCTGTTTTTAAAACACACTTCACCTCTTTTTTTTTTTCTTTTGTTGCATTTTTCAGCTTGTTGACTGGGCAGTTATAGTATGAAGACGGAATGAATGCCAGCAAGGAGGCAGAACACAGGCTCCTTAAGCTTGTATTGTTATCAAAGTCTTTAACCCCTTAACTTACTGCCCCTATGTGTGAGCATGGGGCATATGTGCTTTTCTGCACCCATCTGTTTTGACATTCTCTGAGTTACATGGGTGCTTGGAATACTTTTTAATTTCCAAAGCATAAAGTTTTGTATCTAAATCTGCTGAGGATCATGTCTTACTATCTGACATGCTGAGTGGTGAAAAGCATGTAGGCCCAAGGGGACCAAAGGACATTTAAAATGAGGCTGCAAAATAAAGATTAAACTGCAGTTCCTGTGGGACATCAGTACAAAGTTCAATTTAGTATTTTTAAGGGGCCAGGGATATCCTTTAAAGCCATCATTACTGTTCTGAGGCTGACTTCCTTGGGCTGTGTGTGGAGTAGAAAGAAAGAGGTGATCACCTTTAAATGTGACGCTGAGCAGAAGCCAAATTTAGCTACTCTGATCTGTCTTGTGGAAGAGTCTTCCTTTCCATTGGTGATGAAATGAGACTAGAGAGTCAAGAAGTTAAAGCGACAGCTGTGAAAGTAGTCCTTATGAGCCATTCACAGTCCAGGAGTTAGAAGTTTTCCCTTAAGCTTTAAAAAAGTCCAATAGCTCTATTTGCAAGGTAATTGCATCCTGAATGAAATGAACTGAGGTATGTAGAACCACAAAAGATAAGTATCCTGTTAATAGGCAACACTTGTGTATTGCTTTTCTGGGGGATAAATACTAAAGACTAAACGATCTGTGAATCTGCTACAAGAAGGCTAGAAGAAAAAAAAGAAAGCCAAAGCAGAATAAAAAAACAAAACTAAAACCTTTGAGAACTTGCCACACTGCTTTGCTTGGCTTTTTCCCTAGGCAGTTTTTATTGTTTCCTCTTCCCTTTCCCTTGCTCATAGGTCCTCAGGTCCTCATAGGTCAACAAGACCTTTTTCCCCAGAAAGGTGTAGCTTTGCATATGTGAGGTGTAGGAACTATATTCCTCCCAGAGCAAACAGGTAGTGTGAAGAAAATAATGAAGTCTTCTATTGACCTGTAGAGTAAAATGATAGTAATAAATAGTTTTTTCATCACTGGTACTTTTCAGCATTTAGCAACTTTGTTTTCCTTCTGTTTAGACATTTTTCCTTGTCTTTTGTACATGTCTTTTTTATGTTTTATGCTAGCAACACATAATGAGAAACCAAAGCTGGCAAATTGCTTGAAAATTCCCCTGAGGTACAACATAGAAAATTCCCTCTCTTGCTCTTTCATTTTGTCTGTGTGTACATACAGATATGTAAATCAAAACAACGATGTAGTGATTATGCAAATCCGTGATTTGATTGCCTGACAATCAGCAATGCCTCCTGAGTATTTAAATCAATTTATTTTACATTTGAAGAAATTCTTCTTTACTGTATATACATATCAGACATCTGATCAAAATTCAATTAAATACTTGACCGAGGAGGAGGGAGGAGAGAGAAGTAGCTACAAGCTCTAATTGCCAGTTGGTCTTTTTTGGCTGAAAGTGTTTGGTTTTGAGATTTGAAGAGGCTTGAGGTGTTTCAGGGCCAATAAGATAGTAAAAATGCATGTAAGACAGGCAAAGAGTGGTAAGAATTCTGGAAAATTAGCGTGGAACCCAAAGGAGAAAGTGGAAAATAGCCATTCATATATAAACTTGGATTATCACACTAGCAAAGTAAGTATAGACTTACTTATGATGGGTGACACATCTCCTACCACATTTGTTAATTCCATAGGTTCAAATGACAGCTTGTGTCACATGCTACTGCAATTTAACATGTATCTCAAGTCCCAGAGCTAGCAGCTACATTATTTTGTAAAAGTTGCCCCTGGATTCAGGCAGCTTTTAAGTAGGAGAGTAACTGCATTTTCTGCTGGCACCTCTATTAGCATTTGACATTAAACTGAGGAAATTCCTCCTGCTGCAAGTTCCTCCTGCTCCTTTCCCAGAACACCAGTGGGCCCCCAGGCAGCCACAGCTGCTCTACTTTTTGAGTAAGGCTGGAGGTGACTTTCAAGTGGAGAACAGCTGGTGCCTTCCCTGCTCCACTGCTCTTTGGGTGTGAGGTGACTGGAAAGGCAGTCTGCAGTTCCCCTCTCTTATTGTCCCACCTTCTCCCCTTCCAGTGCTGGACCCTCCTTATAGTCTCACTATGCTCTTCTGAGTCTCTCGCCATACTTTCAGATTGGTTTAACATTATCACCACACTTAAGCAGTTGGGCGATACATTTTTTCACCTTGAGAAATTTAAGCGATATCACTGTTCGTATTACGATGTAGGAGCACTGGATTCTGACTTGGCTTCTGGAAGGGGCTCTCACGTATGTGTGAGAAGGGTTGGAGAAAGCATCTTCCTAGTGTTTTGTGTTGTAGGTAGACTCAGGCAGTCTTGAAACAAACTGAAACCCCAGCAGTAAAAAATCCCATTTTATATTAAAGGTACATAAATGTGCATAGGCATCACAGCTGTAAGACATTACAACCTCATAGCCATGTTTCTGAACTGCTTGACAGGAAGCTATGTAGCAGTCTCAGGAGGAGCTGTGTCTCTTGAGCTGTTCCTCGTGTCTAGTCTGTGCTGGCACTATAGGTAAAATTCTCAAAAAGGTCTAAATAGTCTAAGGGCATTTCTGAGTATTAAAAAATAATACTGTTACTGTCCTGTAGTTTCTTAAAATTTGGAGTAAGACGATATTTTTTTCAGTTCCTTTGTATTTGAAAACAGTAAGGCTGATATTATTCCAACTTTAAAGAAGTATTTCCCCTCAGGCTCTCTCTAAAAAAGTCAGCCTAAAAGGTAAAGATTTCAGACAGTTACAACTACCTGGAGAGAAGCCTTTTAGCATGGAAGGGCTGAAGTGACCTTAACCTCAGTAATCTTCAGTCCTACTGCCAGGGTAGCACAAGTATGAGTTTGTGGGAAAATGACCCAAATGAACTCTGTGCAGATAAAGAATTATGGTAGAAATATGACAATTTTATTAAATACAATATATTATTTATAGAAATATAGTCTATAATATATTAATTATATACCTATGTTATTATTATTATTTTATTATTATCGTAGTATATTTTGTTATTATTTTACTATTATATTATATAATATATTAATATATGAATAAAAATGTGTTCAGTTCTGGGCCCCTCACTACCAGAAAGATATTGAGGTTCTGGAGCGTGTCCAGAGAAGGGCAACGAAACTGGTGAAGGGTCTAGAGCACAAGTCTTCTGAGGAGCGGCTGAGGGAATGGGGTTGTTTAGCCTGGAGAAAAGGAGGCTGAGGGGAGACCTTATCACTTTCTACAGCTGCATGAAAGGAGGTGGTAGTGAGGCTGGGATCGGTCTCTTCTCCCAAGCAACAAGTGACAGGACAAGCAGAAAAGGTCTCAAGTTGTTCCAGGGAAGGTTTAGATTGGATATTAGGAGAAATTTCTTCACCAAAAGGGTTTATCAAACATTGGAACAGGCTGCCCAGAGAAGCGGTTGAGTCACCATCGCTGGAGGTATTTAAAAGACAGGAAGATGTGGTGCTTAGGGACATGGTTTAGTAGTAGACTTGGCAGTGCTACATTAATGGTTGGACTTGTTGATCTTAAAGGTCCCTTCCAGCCTAGACAATTCTATAATTCTATATGATTAAAATAAGAGAAAACAGAAACCACATTCTAAATATTACTTCTATCTCTTTTTTCACGTTAGAAATTGTTGACGGCAATGTGAAAATGACGCTGGGTATGATCTGGACTATCATCCTTCGCTTTGCTATTCAGGATATTTCAGTGGAAGGTAATAGTAATGCAACTGTGTTAAATAATTAGGAAATTTGTTTAAAGACATTTTTATATGAATTACACACAAGTGAGATGCCTGTTTGAAAATGAATTGTTTTTTCACAGAAAATGATACTGCAAGTTCCCTACAAAATTGATATCTGGAGGGAAAAAGTAATTACTCTGCTTATCCTGAGAGAGACCTTGATCCAGCTTTCTAAATGCTGAAGTTGTGGGCATGTCTCTCAGTTACAGAGATAGAAACATGCCTGTGTTTCTGAGCTTCAGTGGCCTGAAACAATGCTGTACTCTGTATGGTGGTCCTATTTCCAACATACTTTTTTAGTTCTGTCCATTTCTTACATTCTTTGCAAATATTATCTGATTATATCCCTCTTCTTTCTATCACTTTCTTTTCCCCCACTGCTTCAGATTTTTTTTTCTTAACTTGCACTTGGTAACTAGCTCCAAAAAGGGCATTGTAGTTGCAATGCTCTTTAAATCATGTCTATGCTGTGAAAAGTCTAGAATTCTAGAAACTAATCTCAATTTTCAACAAAAGTAGTCAATTCAAGCTCTACATGCTGTCCTGCCCATAGTTTGTGGGACATTAAATGTGGACCTAATGGTCTATTTGATCTTTTCTGTCCTTTACCTATACATTCAGATGCCCACAGGGCTCAGATAGTGAAGGTGTTTCTTATACCTCCCCATAAGCAAATGGACTGAGACTGCAAGCATATTTCATGTAGGCACCAACACAATCTTTTATGTTTAGTTCTATTATATTTGTATTGGGTATTTTTCTCCAAATATACATTCTGCTGTCCAAGCAATATAATTTCTTAAACTTCTAATATCCCAGAATTATTGTGCAGGCTGAGACTATAGTCTGAGTTGTTCCAGTTGAGCTGACTTCTGTGTCCTAATGGAGCCCCATTAGTCCATTTGTATAAGTATCTTTTAGGATTAAATGTTGTTTTATACCAACCATTTTCAGGTGGCTGACCACATTTAAGATAACAATGAATTAATTACTTGAGCACTTTTTACATTTTTCCTTTTTTTACTCCCTGGTGTCTTTTACAGAGACCTCTGCCAAAGAAGGGCTGCTGCTGTGGTGTCAAAGAAAAACTGCTCCTTACAGAAATGTGAACATTCAGAACTTCCATCTTAGGTAATTTCCATTATTTCAAGGGATAGAAGCACTTTAAAATATTTTGGGTCAAATTTTTCCCACAATTGTGTAGGTATATATTTGACAGGAGAATTTCACTCTTCACTGTTAACTAGACTTTTTTTCAAATTCTCATGCTCTATCTTCAGAGTCTTATTTTGGTTAACCTTTGGTATTATTTACCATGACTTACTATTTAAAAGTTAAAAATCCCTACTACATACAGAATGACCATATTACATTATTAGAGGTCCTTTGTATATGGTAATAGCTGAGTACCACAGCACAGTGACTTGGCAAATGACTGCTTTCAAATGGAGAGCCACTGTAGGTATAGACTGTTCTTGGCAAAAATAGTGATGTGTTGAGCATGTAAATATCTCATTATGCTGAATGAGTCTGTCAGAGCTCAGATTGAAGCTGTCATATGTGTGAAGTGTTTTAAACTAAGCTGATTTATGACTTCATACTTCTATGAGCACAACATGGTTGTGCCATTAAAATTGTCTGAAATAACTGACACAAAAAGCCAATTGCTTCAGCAAATTCAAGCAATTGCTGGTTTGCTCTCCTTTTATTTTTTCGCAAACATGCTGCAAGTGTAATAGGAGATAATGCACTTTCATTGATGAATGTGTACTCTGAGCTATCCTGGAACGCTGCACAAATTAAGCAATTGAAGTCAGGGACTGTTGCACATAATGTATACTGCCTAGAAAGTATAATGGAGTCCCCACGTGTGCATAGACTGTAGAGTAAGATACGTACTACAGGAAAAAGAGTACAGTAACAGAAAAGCTCAGAGGGATGAGAGTTGACAGAATGTAAGTGTCAGGATTTGACAGGAGAGTTCCTGCTTGATTTTAAGCCTTCAGCAAGGATCAAACTGTAAAATACCATGAATTTATTAACTTTTTTTTTTTCCATTCTATTTTTTGTTGTAAAGCTGGAAAGATGGCCTTGGATTATGTGCACTTATCCACAGACACCGACCTGATCTTATTGACTACTCCAAGCTAAATAAGGTCATCAGTCTGGGTGGTACAGCATGCTGTCCTGCAGTGCTTTGGCTCACTTCTGGTTTGCTGAGCATGTTTTCTAAAACATAAGCTGAGGAATGCGTACTAATTCTGACTGGCTTTCTAAGCTCCCTCCAAAAAAATGAGTGACATGGAGGAAAGGACCCCATGACTGTCCTGTGTCCTTCTTTCCTTCCCATTGCAATGAATTCATCATTTAATTGCAAATAATCTGGTCCTCGGCTGCTAGGCAGTTGATGAAGTTTTTTACACTGCCCAATATGGATGTTAAATCAAATACATTGGAATTCTCCATTCACCACTGATAGTATTATACAGCCCATCCTGTTTTGTATCTGGTGTAAATGACTGTATGTTGCAGAGCAGTAAACAATGAGATGATTAATCCTAAGATTCCTTAGAACAAACATCACCCTTGGCAATAAGTTACTAGTCTTACATAGAAAATATTACAGTATCACAGAATCGCAGATTCTTACGTAGAAAATATTCGCCAATTCTTAGATTATACTTCTACTTATACTTCTAGACAAGTGGAAACAAACCCAATATCCTAACTTCCTTAGGTAGTACTTCAAGGGGATTACAAAACTATTTTATTACAGTGTGCTACCTATGGCAAAATGCACATTTTCTAAAAGATACCAACCGCTTCGGTTTGAGAGGGAGGAATGAGGAGCGAGTAATAATGTCAGAATTTCTGTGTACCATTACTGAAGAATAAAACCTAGGAAGTAGAAGATTGTCATTTCACATTAGCTCTCAATACATATGTACCATTTTCTGCTCTCTGGAATCAATGCATCTTGAGGTCTCATGTAAACACCACTAAAACAGAAAACTTATTCGTGGATTTAATTTGTTGAATGCCACTTTTCCTTGATGAGAGAGACTGGTAAATCATAGACTATATTTTCCATTCCATGCCCTTCCGTTACAAGTTGATTTTACTAGTAGAGTCAACTGTTATCAGAAAGCTTTTGATGAGGGAAAAGATGAATGAATGAATGAGATTATATTATTGAAAAACTTAGTCTGCTTTATATATATGCTAAATTCATGCTGGGGTCCCCAAGGTGTGCAGGGATGAAAATTAAATGAACTTACTCCTAAACAGATAAGGTTTTAATTTAGGCAGTTGTTAAGACAACTGCAGATCTGAACCAAAGGGTAAAATATTACCCATCAAGGCCAGCTTGTTCTCTAATTCTATATGCAATGTTTTCTACAGATAAACAGGTTCACGGAATGACTAAGCTACCTGTCTCTGTGTACATGTGCTTAAGCATGGCACAAATAGAGGTTAGTTTGATTGAGCTTGTGCTTTGAAAAAGTGGTACACAGTACTAAAAGACTTCACAGTATAACCATCCTATATATGAGTGCTGAGAAAAAGGAATAGAACATAAGCAGATCTGCTTCGGCATTACTATTTCCCTCTTAGAGATTTCCAAAATAAGAACAGGTCAGGTTTCAAACTGAGGCTGAGCTGTGGCACGTAAAGCACATGCAGAGAAACCCTAAAATAGATCTTGCTTTTCTGACTTGGCTGTGTTTGATTGACTGCTCATTTTGGTTACATTAACAGCTGTCTTGGTGTCTTGTTTCCTGGTTTCTTGTCTCCTGCATGCTGTCCTTTCCTTTTCTCACCAATGTGTTTTGTGTGAACTTGTAGCTGGAAAGATGGCCTTGCTTTCAGCGCCCTTATCCATAGACACAGGCCTGATCTTCTTGACTATGACACGTTAGATGAGGTATTTCTTTAGCTGTAGCAGAGATTTTTAGTTACTGTGGCTCATAGTTTTGTTTAAAAGGATGGGTGATGGAGATCTTCTACAATTATACAGAAATTGCTGTGATTTTAAACAAATCCTTTACCAGTGGAGCACTATTCACTCATGGACTTAGTACCAAGCACGCAAATAGGGAGGTGCTCATCACTCATCCATAAGCAAAGTGTTTTAACCTAGTCAATAGGTCTCACTTAGATTTAGTGTATTTTTGTCTCATTTAATTTCAGCAAGAGTTTTTGTATTCACAGTTAGTAAATGCTGTATTACACATGGTGTCCTGTGTAATAGCAAAAATAAGTTCATGGGTTTAAATATTGTCCACATTTTAAGTTCCTCTTAATGTCAGTGATGCACAAAACTGCTAAATGATGATAGAATGAGAACTTACGATTAGACACTTCTAGAGACTTGGGTATAATATTCTATTATACCCAAATTGTTAGGTTTCAAAATGTAAACTCTTTTTCATAACACATTGAACATGCAGCTTTTAAAGGAAAGGCTATCTAGTACGATATGTTTACAGAAAGATGTCATGGGCATTACTACTTATGATACCTAGCATATGTATGTGCATGAGGGACAGACTTCTGTGAAACTTAAATAATTGCTGGGATTCCATAGTAAGTAATCTTACTAAGTTCATTCCAAAGTAACAAAAGAAGCATGCTTGAGACTAGATCTCTTTAGAAGTGCTTGTATTCAAATGGAAGCCCTGGAAATTCCCTACAGAAAACCTGTTAACGTTTTTTCAGTGCACTCCAGCATCTCTAACTTTGCTCTTCTGTGTCCTATTTTGCCACCCTCTCTCTGTAGACATTGGCATTGTTGAGAGTGGCTATCATCATTTAGCAGTTTCTGAATATGTGAAAATAATAGTAGCATTAATGGCATGAACTGCCATTTCACATAGGCTGTTTTCACTCCAAGCTGATACAGGAAGGCTGCCTTAAGAGGAGCAGTAATCTGACACGGTCTTCCATTGTCAGCAATAGCTGTGGGTAGTGTAAGAGGTGAAACGCATGCTGCTTATCTGAACTGTGCTCACTGCTTCCTTTCTCTTTCTTTCAAAAACCAAAATCAAAATCTCAAAACCAGAGGAAGTTCTTGGATTTCCACAGCTCTAAAATTTGATTTATAGAGGTGTCGCAGATTTCTCTGTCCAAGTCAAAACTTAGAAGTTTTGCTCCTTCTGGAGAACTGTTCTGTCTGTGCTTGCTTCTTCTCATGCATGCACCTGACCAACGGAAAACTCAGCAGAATTCTTATCCCTGTAATATAATGTATAGTAGGTATAAAACATGCAGGTTTAACTTTTTGATGAACTGTCTAGTATAGCCTTGACTGTATGTATTACTGCTGTACTTCATTCAGAATCAGCTCAGAATTATGATCGTACACTGCATACGTTACCTATGTTCCCCTCCAGCATATATTTGCAGCAGAGTCCTAATGGTACATAATAGCTTATAATGTTTTCTTTTGAAAGTATAGCAGTAGGTAGACCAAAAGTTCATTTACCTATACTCTGCTTTTTGAAGAGCAGTAGTTGTGACTCCAGTTTACAGTTTGGAAAAACAGAGTAAGTTTTTGTGTACTTTCTGTAGTCTTGCTTCAAGGAAAATCTTCTGTCTTTGACTACTTGTATTTTCTTATTTAATGCAGGATGACCCCATAGGAAATATCAACCTTGCCATGGAAATTGCTGAAAAGCATTTGGATATCCCTAAGATGTTGGATGCAGAAGGTGAGAGTTATAGCTTACAGAAGTTTGTGTTACAAACAGGAGATAGTAAAACATCTTTTGTTTTGTACCTAGAAAATTTTCAACATTCCTTCCACATGAATCATAATGGAGCAACCTGCTTTGTTTTCAAACAATGTTTTCCTCCTTATTCCCCATGTATTGGATAATTTAATTCATTTTTTGCTTTATTCCTTATTGTTTGTTATATTTTGTATTTATCATAGTACTTTGGACCCTAACCTCAGCACATGGCCCCACTGTGATAACTGAGGCAAAATGCAGGATCAAAAGATAATCCTTGCCTTTAAGAAATTAAAATCTAAATCTAATAAAGGGAAATACAACTGTTAGCAGCTTAAAGCATATTCACTTTTTTTGAATGTTTAAGTAAGAGGGCCAGAAATAGAAATAGAAGTACAGAGCTTTCAATATACTCTTAACATGCCTCCTATGAAAGACAACTAGGTTGAGGTAAGCATTTTTTTTTTTTGTTTATTTTAATTGCAAATCTTGAGCAGTGATAGCTTTGACAAATACCTTCATGTTTGGTTTCTCCAATAATCTTTAGAGTTTGTTGACAAATAACAAGGAAATGTTTATTAAAGTTTCCTGAATTTCTTCAAGATAACCAAACTTTTGTACTCCAGGCAAAAAATGGTGCCAAAATACTGGAATTTGCCTACACTAGTTCAAAGCATTCTTCTCTAGGTATGCAGACTCTGCTCTGGTGGCCTGTCAGTAGAGCAATGGTAACATGGGAATTATCCAGAGCACTCAAACTCACTGTGTCTGCTCCCCTTGAACTCTTTGGTAGGAAAGTTCAGCAAATACAGAATGATTTGTAAAATCGAGGTTGTAACCTCTTCACTGAAGAGGTTTCTTGGTTTCACCTTCATGCTTCGAAAATAATTGTTTTCATTTTTTGAATTGCAATTCCCCTTACAAGCACCACGTAATTATTTTACTTTGAAATACTGTGCAAGGAATAAACAGAAATGCTACCTCCTTACCATTGAACACCTCCTACTATCATTCTCCTTTCCTCATTTTTTCTCTTCGCATACAATGTAAGAAACCTTTTTTTCTCTCACCAGATTTTCTGCACTTTCTAGCCCTTATCTTACTATTCTTCTTCTTCTTGGCAGGGGAGGGAAAATGAAATCATGCTTCTTCTAACACCCTCTAAGTATTCACCACCACTTTTTACTCTCTTTACTTTCACTGTGTTCTCAGTGGAAACTTTGCAAAGTTTTGTTCACGACTATATGAAGTACCTGCAAAATCAGTAAATACATTGGTCCTGAACCTAGAAATCTCACTGTTAATATTAGAAAATGTCACCTCATTCCTGGGTCTTTTCACCCCAGTATCTTCCCACTCCCTACATTGGCAGGAATCCTTGCAGCTTGCACTAGCATTATCCATTGCCCAGCCATAATTGGTGTAAACCCACATTTTTCTACCTTTCTCTGTTAAGTATTTAAAAGGTCCATTTTTACCAATGTACCCATACCTTGATTTTACCCTTTCTGTACCTTTACTCTTTCCTGCCACAATAGGGACAAAGCTATTAGCCAGCCAAGCCAAACTCTTCTGTGATTTATGCTATTAACTAAAAAGACAGAGTGGTGCACGGGCTGCAAAACTTACTATCTGAGCTTTTCTTAGCACAAGATGTATTTCTGGACTGCACATTTCTACAGGTTTCCAATATATGTCAATACCCTCTCAGTCACAGGGACCCTGTGCTAATATAAACTGTACTCACTCCTATTTGGCGATTGTCTGTGGCTGTGTTTAACTCTGGAATAATTCTAGTGATTTAGATTAAGTTGCTTTGGAGTGACAGTGAAGCTGAACCCAGTAGATCTGCCAGCCATACCATCTGCTTGGAAGTTTCCACAAACCAGAAGGTAGCAATATCCTTCTGTACAGTCTCAGCCTTCAGATGTTTTGCCATTTCAGGGAGAGTTATATCTTTTCCATTTACCGAGCCTAAAGCTTAAGTAGCTTTGCACCAATGTCAGCAAACAGACGCAACCTGAATAATGGCGTATTTATTTTGAATCCTTATAGCACTGAGGTGGCATCATCAGCATAATCTGATGGAAGAACCTTGTGAGAATTTCTGAGCAGTTAACCCTCTTCTCTCTACACAGATGTAGTAAACACTGCCAGACCTGATGAAAGAGCCATTATGACTTATGTTTCCTGTTACTACCATGCATTTGCTGGTGCTCAGAAGGTGAGATTGTAGAAGATGGATCAGATCTCATCCTTCACCTTCTGTCTTGTTTCTTTCAGCAGTTTTTCCTCTTCTGATCTTTTCCTCACTAGTTACTAGGACAACATCTTAGAGCTGAGCTCATTTCCTGTTGCCTGATTTTCTCTGTGAGCCACTGTCTCAGTAGAGCTGGTAGTAATCTATCCATTTGTTCCATAGAAACAAACCTCCCTGTCTCATCTTTCTGTATATTTACTAATAATATCCAGTAGGTTCTTGACAGCTGGTTGCTGAATGGGATAGAGGACAATATTCTTTTTAATTGAACTTGTGTTCATTCATTTGAAGCACCTTTAAAAATGCAAGGTGAAAATAAGCTCATAGTGGAAAAAACAATTTCAATAGCAGAATGCCATCTTTTTTCTCCCTGCTGGATATTATTCTTGCTACGGATGTCAAAATCATCATAACAGATGCTCAGAAAATAAACCCTTCTCTTATGCTTTCAGGATTGTTTTTAAAATGTTAAATGCTTAATGGTAAGTACAAACAGCAACATAAAAGGTTGCTACTATGCAAAATAGACACAGAAACATACACAGGTGTCTCAGAAGAGCTCTGGAATCATGTCCTAATGAAAAAAAAGGAAAATTTTAAAAAGCAAGGCAGTTCAGAGTTGGACGTACTTCAGGTATTAGTAATATAAAGAATACTGATATATCGTGCTTAGATTACAACTAATCCACATGCAGCTTCCAGAGAACGTCTTCCCTTTCCTGTGTCTTATTGAAAAAAAACCCAACGAACCACATTCGAAGTCACCAGACATATGCATGCCATTTCTTAAGGAGATAGTCCTGGTAAAATTAAGGTCACTCCCCCTGTGCCAATACTGCAGGATCAAGCTTACCAAAAAAATCCAACTCTTTCTAAGAGCTTATGTTGAATTTCTAGTGTACATTTTATTCTGTCAGCACTCATCAATCTAACACTGAATTTATTACAGCTTTGTAGAGTTTCTACAGTACAGAGCTATGGACAAGAAAACAATCAGAATGACACTATGTTGTGCTTTTATTTATTCATCCTGTTTTCTACTCCTCGATTCTTTTTTTGTTTTGTTTTCATTTCTCCCCCCATCTTGTAGATATTGTGAACACTCCCAAACCTGATGAGAGAGCTATCATGACATATGTGTCCTGCTTCTACCATGCTTTTGCTGGAGCAGAGCAGGTATTAATCAACTGTCCCTTCAGGTTGCTGTGGTTTTAATTGGTTGTTTCACATTTACACTAGTTTATTAAAAAAAACCCCAACCTAATTTACTATCTTGTGGTTTTAATTAACAATTGCAAGTATTACTTGAGTACTAATACTTGTTTTTAACTAACACTTGAACCCATTTTAGTTAAATGTTGTGTAGCAAGTTGAACTTCTTTCATTCCAATGGATATTCCTGTTTCTAATTTTGGGTCTTTATTTGGCGATTATAAGGACTATTTCAGAAAAACTGTTTTTGAAGATACTGTGAAATGGGGTTGTCGTTTGTTGCTACATCAACATCTTATGCGCTTGCTGCATAAAAGAATGTTTGACTTTTCAAGATTGAGACTATTCTAGACTTACTCATGCTGAGTAGTAACTTAGGGCTGGATTTTAAAAGATGCCTGAAGATGCAGAAAGGCACAGAAGACATCCAACACAGTATGTGTGCTTGATTTAAAAATCTGTGCCTGTGATTTAAAAAAAATAAACTTATAGGATAACTTTAAAAATGGCCTAAGTTGTCTTTGAAAATAAAAATTTATTAGACACCTATAATGGCAGTGTGAAATTCCCCCTTGGCTTCATTGTACAAAAAGGTGACTTCTGTGCTGATCTGTGCCTTATTTAGGCCATTGGAATCTGTGACTACAGAAGGAGGGTAAATATATATCTAAGTAACCTAGAAACACAAATCAACTATAAAACAATGTGATTTTTATTTGCAGCACCCATATTCTCTCTCTTTCTCTAAGCCTGTACCTTTCTCAGAATGTGTTTATGAATATGTCCTGTTTATTTGCTGTGTTTTACAGGCTGAGACTGCAGCTAACCGGATCTGTAAGGTGCTTGCTGTGAATCAGGAAAATGAGAGGTTGATGGAAGAGTATGAGAGACTAGCAAGTGAGGTAATGACAGCTGTATCTGTATTGTGGTGACAATTTTCTTCATGAAATACTGAAAGCTGAAAGGTTCATGTACTCTCTGCAAGACAGCAAAGTGAAGACAGTATGAGGGTAAACCTCACAGTGCTAGGGTACAAAGCTCAGTTGCCCGAGATGTCAAGGTTCAGGTGACTCCTTTGCCACAGACCTCCTGTGTGACGTCCAGCAAGTCACTCAGCCTCATCAATGTGCCAAAAAGGGTGTTTTGAGCACTGTCATCAGTCTGCCCCAAGACCAAGTTTGCTGTCTCTGTAATCTCCAGACAGCCGTCCTTGACCTGTGGAACATACAGGATCCTGTCACTCCAAGCAAGCCCGTTGGCTTTGTGTACTGCAAAGCACACCTGGACAGGGTCTCTCAGGGTGTTCACAACGCACCTGTGAACACAGGCAGCAAGTGAATGAAGAAGGGGGCATATTTTGCTCTTCCTGTCCTTTCTTGGTAAATGGCAAATTTGTTGAGTCAGGACTCCAGATGTGTAGTGCACAAGTGAGACCTCCCTTGTCTTTAATGCATAACCTGCAAAAACATACTGAGATCATAGACACAAAAACAGTAATGCTACATTGGCACTAATGGACTTCTAAGTGAAGATTTTTATATGACCTAAGTTACTTGGCTGGTGTCTGTCCTGATCCCATAACTGTGATTACTTAAGACATCAAGACCAATGTTTTTGGAAGTGGCAAGTGATTTGGGTTAACTCAGGTTTTGAGTAATTAGCTAGAGACACCTTACATGTGTGTTCATCTTTCTGAAAATCAGGATATTTCTAGGAATACCTAGAGTATCTGGGAAAATTAGTTAAAAAAACTATTCTTCAGGGTGAAAATCTTGTGCTTACTTGCCATTAAGGCACTGATAACAACTGCAGTCAATAATATTAAAATAGAGCAAACTCAATTGGGATTTGTGCATTCAATATGATCTTTTTTTTGGTTGCTTTTTCATTGCCTTTGTTTCAATTGTGTATGTTGGTTTGAAAGCTTTTAGAATGGATTCGCCGGACAATTCCTTGGTTGGAAAACAGGACCCCAGAAAAAACAATGCAGGCTATGCAGAAGAAATTAGAGGATTTCCGGGACTACCGCCGCAAACACAAACCTCCCAAAGTCCAAGAGAAATGTCAACTGGAGATCAATTTCAACACCCTGCAGACAAAACTGAGAATCAGCAATCGGCCAGCTTTCATGCCATCAGAGGGAAAAATGGTTTCAGTAAGTAAAGGAGGCATCAATATTCCATTCTCCTTTTTATCAAGATTCTCACAAAAATTTCAACATGAAGAATGGAAATGCCATTTTAAGTCATCCTCAGAAACTTCCATTTGTTGCACTTTATCAATATCAAACCACTCTTTTTATACATTCCTCCTCATTCTAGAATCTTGCTTTCTCTTAAGCATGCTCCTGCCTCTTTGAAGGCTTTCCCCAAGAGCAAATTGTCTTGAGATGTGAGACAATACAGAGCTTCCTTTGGGAGTGTTATCAATACTTTTCTATCACTGAGGCCAATACTGTTTGTTTAAGCAAAACTCACAGTGGTTTCACTGACATTTTGGTCATCAGACTTACGAAACAGACATTGCTCAATATATGTTTCTGCCTTTTATTATTTTTTAAAATTGAATTTTGTTTTTTCTTATGTCTGCGAGGATAAGACTAGTCAGTATCAAGAATTCTCATCTGCTGATAAGTACTGTGAGTTGACTGCAGGTCAAAATATTTCCTGTGGAATATAGCAAACCTGTTTCTGTACACTGTTCTGTCATTGGGTTTTGGTTGCTCAGATTTGAAAAACAGATGATTGCACTATCTGGAAAAGGCCATTGTCCACTCCCCATATGCAGAAAATAAGGGCCCTGTGACTTCAGTTTCCTACTCACGCCTTTGAGTTTCTGAGGAAACTCCCAAAACTTTGGGCACCACAGAAAGCAAAACGAACTTGTATTCCAGATAAAATACACACCAAATCCTCTTGATACTGATTATTTTGCTATTGTCAACTTCCAAGAGCAAAGCACTTTTACTTTGATAACAGATAGGTACGTCATAAAACAACATGCACATTGTGAAATAGGACGTAAAAGCAATATATCGTGAAGACGCCGAATGAGTAGCTGTGCTTGGAAGCCATTTGTATAGAGGTTCCTTTCAGTAATCCACTTGAACAGGATGCACTATTAGGAGCAGATGACTTAGACTAAAAGACTTCCTGAGCTGCCTCACAACTTTTTCTACGATTCTATGATTTTACAAAATCCAGACATAAAATCTTCTCTTTTGGAGCAAAATTGTGAATGAATCAGAAATCTGCAAATTTGGATAAAAAGAGATTATAGTTTCATCCCCTATCTCCCATGCATTCTCTTCAAAGGATATTGCCGGCGCTTGGCAGAGACTTGAACAAGCTGAGAAAGGCTATGAAGAGTGGCTGCTGAATGAAATACGAAGACTGGAAAGACTTGAACACTTGGCTGAGAAATTTAGGCAGAAGGCTTCCACTCATGAACAGTGGGCATATGGTGAGCAGAGATGGCTTTTAACATTTTTAATGTTTTAATCTTCAAAGTTGAATTCTCAGTGCTGAATATTTGCCAGCCAGAAACTCACTCATAAGTAGTTTGGATAGTTTTAGAAACCTAAAATAGTAACAGATAAAATCGCAGGTTTTGTTGACTGTAGTCATGACCTAAATTGTAGGCATGTTGCTAATGAAATATAACCGTAAAAATCATACTCTTGAGGTAGTGAGTCAAACTGAGTGGGAATATTCAGCATTTGAATAGAGGCCATTACTGCTAATGGATTCCTCTGTATCTATATACCAGCAATCCAACCAGGAACACAGTCACAGCACTGGTTAAGCATGAAATTATTAACAGAATTATTCTGAGTTGATTATCGTTTGGTGACTATCATGTTTTGAATAGTCCACATAAACTACACGATAACGGACTCATTTCTGCTTTGTTCCATACCCCAGATTACACCCCATTTATAGTTCTGTTTTTTAATGGTAACCTAACCTTATGTGTAGTCGTAACAGCTATAGGACCATACACTGGCATACAGTTTTGCTGGGGAACATTAAACATGAATCTGCTCTATCATCATATTGTTTTCCCTGACAACAGTCTTCCTGCTTCTGCCATTCTTCTGGCTTTTTCCAGCTAGAATCTTTTCACAATGTGAAAGTAAACCAGAGTCCATCCCATAACACAGTTGCTGGAAGTGTACAAGGCTGTAAATGGCTGCCAAGCAAGTACTAGAAGGGAAACTACAGTGTTTATCAGCCCTGAGAGCCTATTTTCTGAGCATAAACTACTCATGGTGACATGTTATAGCTGTTATGCAGGGAAAACTTCACATAAGCTGGTCCACAGCAAGTGAAACAATAGCTCTAGTATTCACAGAGCTGTGTAAAGCCATGTGGTGAGCTGCAGTTGTAGGGGCTGTCTGTATGGACTCAGTTGTCCAACACAGGAGCTAAGAAGGAGTAATATTTCAGTTTCTGATTTCCTCTTTGCTTCTCCAGCTTTTTGTAAATAGGTTGATATTTTCCATGTAAAGTGCAGTGTTTGCTACAACGGGCAGCCACGCATCTCAATCTCTTTTTTTTTTTTTTGAAGTGCTGAAATGAATAATGAATTGAAGGCAGAACATGAAAAAATAACAGGTCATTAGTAAGAGTGAAGCTAAGCATAGCAGTGTGATTTCTGGTTTTGTAAGTCTACACTACAAAAGACTTACCCACAATAGTTTAGAGCCCCAGTTTTTGCCAATATACCATTTTTATGCCAATTTCTCAAGCAATGTAATACTTGCTATTTTAGACCACTATAAACAGCCTATGCAAGAATCACGAAATTACTGAGAGAACTTTAAAAATATATATTTCAGATTAACACTGTTATGCTGATAATTTGTCTCTGATTTCAGCGGGGATGGGACTTCATCTCATATATGTAATTTTCACTATACCTCAGTTTAAAAAGTTGACTAAATTTGCAATTGTTCTAACAAAAAAAATAGTAAAAAAGGACTAATATTTTAATTTCCTCTTTCAGGCAAAGAGCAGATCTTACTTCAGAAGGATTATGAATCTGCTTCTCTAACAGAAGTCCGTGCCATGTTAAGGAAACATGAAGCTTTTGAGAGCGATTTGGCTGCTCACCAGGACAGGGTGGAACAGATCGCTGCCATTGCCCAGGAGCTGAAGTATGTTCCATTTAAAGGCTTGCAGCTGCTGACATTTAACTTTGCGATAAACTCTTTCCAATGAATTTGATAGTGTCATAGGTACCAACGTAAGAATTCCAGAGATAGCTTCATAAGTATATTATCTGAGCTGGTCACTGAGACCTTTCCCTCATCTCCCCCTTACCCCCAACCAAATATAGATATTCAACTGACCAAAATTATTTGCAAACAAACATTTTAAAATTGACTTAATGGTAAGCTTTTAGCATTAGCTCTACTGATAAGTCCATTGTGTGTTGATGGGAATGCTAGAGGTGTTTATTTCTCAGTTCATACGGTCTGCTGAGAGGTACTGGCTATAAATTGTTTAACTTGGAAAATAATTTCACTTACACAAATTACAGATCAAGCGTCTTCACTTTAAAATCAGCTATTTTCCCACAGGTATATTGGTCCTTTCAAAAGGCTTTACATCCCTAAATTATCTCTGTAGTAGTGGGTCATGCACTGACTTTTCTGAAGATTTAATTGTCTCTAGTATGCTTATTTTCACAATCTCTTCATATTATTTTTGGAAGTGCCATTGTCTCCATTTTACATAAAGGGCCGTGGGGCATATGGAAACTAAATAACTTGCTCAACATACTATGCCCAGAGAAAACACAACCAAAGCTGAGAACAGTTCAACAACACATTTAGGTGATATCTGTATTGTTAACATCAGCTATATAGGTCAGGAATGTGAAAAGTCAAGGCCCGTGACTGACACACACCCTTACGGCAGCAGAAGTCCTGAGCGTTGATGGAGTTACTCTGGCAAAACTCTTGGTGGAGCTCGCTTTTGTTTGTGCAAAGGTTGTTAATTCACCTGTGTGAAGCACAGATTTTTCAGCAAAGCTCTGTCCACACTGACAGGATTGTACTGTTACATACTGATGTCCCTTTTCTGGTAAAGTAGTCTTGGTGTGTACACCAAGGTAAGCACATTTGATTTTATAATCTTAAGCCATTAATTGCAGTGGTTTTGTAGTGTAAATCAGTGGCGCTACTCATGATCTTAGCAATTTGGCACGTACTTAAATTCATTGCTCACCCGCAGTATAAATCTGTAAAGCCAACAGAAACAGATGTGTGGTAGTGGTCAAAACGGGAGCCAACATCAAAATTCTCAGATTCATGCCCTTGGCTTCAACTCTCCAAGTTTCAGTTTCTCATCTTCTTGAATAGGCAAAACAGTTACCACTCAGAAATCAAGTTTTAAAACCATGCCCTCTTTTCACTTTGTGGAGGACCATAACTCATAAACAGGTCCACATTCATTAACAATTTAAAAATCAGAGTGGTCTAAAAATGTAGTTCACACCTGATAGCAGCAGCAGCAGCACTTACAGTAATTGTATAATTCAAATGGATTTAGAAGAAAAATCCTATTTTTCAAGATTATTTAAAGGAGGAAAAGTAAAGCACAGTGGGCAAAATAAGTATTGTTTTTTACTGAAAGACATCTGAAAAACACAGAGGATGGAGATTTTGCTGAGTATGTAAGCTTATGAAACACCTTCTGTCATGCCTTGATCTCTGTTGTGGAGTTATTTCTTCCTCTTTATACTAAAGAAAGTTTCTGAAATGCCTAATCATTGTTACTTCAGCTTCAGCTTTACAAGTGATAAGAAACTTTGGGAATGTAGTATATACATAGCACAGCATCTGCTTACCAGTGCTTTGAACCCCGTGTCCTTTACCTCTGGTGAGGCCAGTGAACACTGTATCCTGTCTATTTTAGGATTGTCTCTTCTCAGTTGTTTCAGTAATTTGCTGTGTGAAGTTAAACAAGTTATTTGTGGCGTGGGCTACAAAGGTGCTGAAAACCCATTGCTTTTAGAGATGCTCTACTTCGACTTCTCTGCCTCTCCACACAATGAGGCTATCAGTGCCTGATTTTTCACTGAGACTCAGTAGCTCAGTTAAGCTTAATGCCCTTGGAGAACATTGAATGAAAGGTCATAAAGGTCAAGTTTTATTATTAGCTACAAGCAAATGGGCATCCTCTGTTTAAATATTGATTTTAATTATTTATACATTATTCATCACACAATGAAATTATGAAGGAAAATGCTAATTTCTTTCTCCATTCATATTTTTAACAAAGGATTGACTAATGTCTGAATGCTAAGAAATGTGCATTGGTACCTGATCCAAAGCCTATTGAAGTCAATGTGGGTATTTTTTTCTTGTTTTCTTTGATCACTGGGTCAGACCTTTACAGAAATCATCATCATCTGTGTCTAAATTCCAAGTCAATACACCTCCATGTTTTGTTTTAGTCAACTGCTTGGCGGCCTAATGTTGCTATTTCAAAGGAGGACAATTGCTGTGTGACCTTGAATTCTACCAGTTACAGTTTCCTGTCTGTTCTGGTGTTTTCTGCTGCAGCAGCTCAGTCCACTGTGTGCTTAAGGCTAAAGTTGATACGAGGTTGTTGATTGGTGCTGTTCAGATAAAGGATTTGCGCATGTGTGCAAGCAGGTGATTCCAGCCAGGATGCTGCTCTAAGATTGTTGTGCTCTAGCCTGTATAGACTTAGAAATCCTTGGCAATAAGGCATGGCAAGGCTTGGATAGGGCTACATACAAAGCTGGAAAAAGTCAGGCATTTCTAAAATGGGATTTGCCATTTATAAAATAGCAAATGCTAAATAGAGCTTGAATGAGCTGTACTAGGAAGTGCCGTATTCGTTTATGGCCTTGTGTGCTCATTTCAGTGTTTTCAATCATCAAGATAAAATTTTTGGAATGTAGTTTCTTGCATATCCTTCACTTCTAGTATAGCAACTCAACTTATTTTCAGCCAAGACTACTATCTGTAACACTGATTTGGAGGGTCTTTTTGCTTCTGGAAACCTGGGCTCAAATTGTGCTTACGTACATGATTAACATGAGCCTGGTTCTGAAGCAGTGCTAAAGCATGTTGCTCAGCAGTTTATTTTTGTGACACTGTCACTGTTCCTGAAGTGAGCTCATACTTAAGTGCTTCTCTGGATTAGGAAAAAAATTGACTAAATTTTTAATTCTTTACAGATAAAATTGAATTACTTGTAGGAGCAATAGGAATATCTTATAAAATCCAAAGGCTGTAGATTTCAAATAACCAAACAAATAAAAATGACTGTTCTCTTCAAAGCTTTGTAACACATGTGCAGCAGTACTTTGTGTATGCATGATAAACAAAACTTCTTTTTACAAAATGTGAAATCTAGTGTCTTCACAGCTTCAGTGTTGAGAGAGATACTAAAATTAATAGAATAAGGAATGTAAACCTGTGCTTTATTTCTAAGTAAATAATCTCCTATGAGTTATTATTTCTTCCTCTGTTCCTTCTTTGAGCAGAAAAATGTTCTTTGACACATATAACACACTTGAAGTAAACTACACCAGCCCCAGAAAGACAGGGGACCTACACTGCTTAATGCCACTTGGTGATCTAACTTACGATTTTTGATCCATGGGTGTGCTTTTTAAAATTTGTTTTGATAATATTATTCTCCTACCTATTTGTCTACAGCACATATCCGTGGAAGCAATAGGATAGCAGAGATACTATGGGGAATGACTGAACCTCCCTGGCAGAGCTGGTGGAGGAACGTTGCATGTTACCTTCCAGGACTTTGACCAGAGTTGGTACAATCAGTCCCTCACTTTCATGGAAGGACACCTGCCCTTATTCTAATTGACAAAAGGAGATAAGTGAAGCAAAAATAAAATTTGCAGTAGTCTCAGGGATGGGACCTGGAGTATCTGGAAAAATACCCTGTCCATATTCTGGTATACAAATCTCCACATCCCATCCACTTAGTGAGCTCGCAGCTCACACAGGAACATCATCTAATAATCTCAATATGCTATAAGGAAAAACCCCAACTTCTAGCCAAAAAACTCATAGCAGCGAAATATATCTTAGCCTGTTTCATCCAAAACTCCATGCTTCTGACTTAACATTTCTTAAGAGATGTCTTTTGTTGCATCCCTTTGAAGGCTAACAAAAAGGCTTGCTCTAAAGGAGGAAGCAAGTTTTCAAGTTAAGGAGCCCTTGTATAGTATGACTTGCTGGCAGTTTTCTCCTTAAATGTAACAGTTCTACTTTCATAATTCTGGGTTGGCTTTATTTTGTTTGTTTGGGTTCTTTATAATTGTTACGGCATTTTATTTTTACTTGTTTTAGCATTCTTCACTTTCAACAGTCAATTGATTGCAGCACATCTGAAGCCTCTTTTAAACAGAATCTTTCACATACTTTTCAACTTCATCCCAAACCAGATTGCTCTGACTGAGTTTAGAGGAAGAAGCCTGAACACTGCCCCTGGCCTACAGTGTAGCTTCATGGAGGAAAGCTACCTCTGTTCGTGTTTTGTCCTTTGTGATTCTTTAAGTTATTGGTGGAAGAACTCTTGCCAGTTGACTAGAGAAGAATGTTCAGAAGAAGCAAACAAACTCTATCTGCATTTCATGTATTGTTCAAGCCTTAAAGTAAATCTTAGCTTCATATTGCCATGCTGTCATATAATCACAGTCTGTGCAATATTTAGTACTGGGCAAAATGTCCTCAAGGAGCAGCCAAGAGCTAAATTCAGTGGATGATGATACACCAATACAAGTGAACTTCCAAAGTGCCAAACATGCGTATTTTATAATGGTAATGATGGCTGCAGCAGAACCAAGGGGATTATCTGCCACTGAGATAAAAAAATTCAATCTGAGACAGACTCAGTGCAGAATCTCAGGACAAAGCTTTAAAAAGTTATGCCAGTCTTAGGCAGAATAGTAAGTTGCTTTCTGTCAGGCTAACATGAGCCTATTAAACAGGTGAAAAAGCAATGCTAACTGGTAAACACTTTGCGGGTGCACTGATTCATGCTGGTGGCATACATGGGTCAGGAGATTCCTGTTCTCTGAACCAGACAGTTCTAGGATGTAGCTCTGTGAGGAGTTCCTGAAGAGGAAGATGAGAATTGTTCTCTGTGCTCCAGATCTGAGCAGCTCCTATTAGTATTGCCATGCCTGTGAGAGAGAGGTTATGCTTTGAATGCAGCCTGAGGTCTGTTTCTCAGTTAAAGCATTTCAGAGCATATGAGGCTGAAAATGATCATTGGATTATTTAAAATGAAACTTATATTTCAGGCCAATTAATTTAAAACTGTGCCAATCTTCAGAAACTTGATAAAGCCCCAGACTGAAGCATTCTGGTCTTCAGGACATCAAATTGCTCGTGCCACAGAAATAGCTGATACAAAGATGGTTAGACACCTTAATTGTCTTTAATATCTGGATGTCACAGATGGATACTTGATTTTTTTCACAACAGAGGAGGTTGATCCTGTTCCTGTGCTGGGCTTCTTGGAATGCTGAATGCCTAGATCACACGTGTCTATACCACAACACTTGCTTACCTGGAGGAGAAATATTGCAAAAAAGAGGGGAGGAATTACTGAGGGCCAGTGGAAGAGAGCGGACAATGCAACCTTTCCTGTCTTTCAGAAAGTCACACAGATTTTTGTTTTCACTCTTTTTTAGTGAACTGGACTACCATGATGCTGCAAGTGTCAATGATAGATGCCAAAAGATATGTGACCAATGGGACAGCCTGGGAACACTTACTCAGAAAAGGAGAGAAGCACTGGAGGTAAACCATATAACAATGATCAGCTGAGCTGAGCAGAGAGGGGAGAATGAACCATTTGTTTCAGATCTGGAAACAGTGCCACTGAGCATCCACTTTGGCATCCAAACAGCAATAAACCCTTCCCTTAGATCTTCATTTCATTTTGGTGTGGTTTCATTTACAAATAGATTGAATTGCTCAGAGCAGACTTGACAGTGCTCAGCTGCCAAGTACAGTCCTAAAGCAGCAACAAATGGGATGCGGTTCACAGCACCACACTTTGGGAATTTGATGTCCAGCAAAGATAACAAAAGCCATTAGGTGCTTACCTTTTCATATTTGTCTGAGCTTAATCAGGTGAAGTGCAGGATAATGGCCAGCACTGGGTTAATTTTTTGGTAGTGAGTATTCCAAAGCACTAAGATACTTTCCAAAACCTTGTTCCTTAGGGAAGGAGGAAATGACACACATGAATGCCAAGGTGGAAGACACATGTCTAACTCCTCCTTTTTATACTTACAAGAGGTTACTAAAGCAAGATTAGCAGATTTTAATTGATTTGCAGATAGATTACAATAACAAAAGTACTTAAAATATCAGTAATGAAAAAGTTGTTTCACCTGTTATCCTTCAAAGGCCTGCACCCCTTTTATCACGTTGGATATGAGAATATCTTTACTGAAATTAGTCCTATTGCCTTGAGTGAGAATCCTTAAAGCAGGTGGTGAAATCAGTTAAAATACAATCAGTTGCTTTTGAAAAGATGAAGCATGATTTTGTGCATGGGTGGGTATGTGTGTGGAGTTAGGTCTTGCCCTAGTAACAAAGGAATGTACCTTTCCTAACCTTTGCAGAGGACGGAGAAATTGCTCGAAACAATTGATCAGCTTCACCTGGAGTTTGCCAAAAGAGCTGCTCCTTTCAACAACTGGATGGAAGGTGCTATGGAAGACCTACAGGACATGTTTATTGTTCATAGCATAGAGGAAATTCAGGTAAATGGTTGTCTTTTTTGGCTTACGGTAATCGTGAAGACAAGAAAAGAAGCTTTTCCTTCTTAGAGAGTAGAACACACGTAAGAAAAAAACCCATATTCTGTCTTGACATTATCTTTGTGATAGGCAGTGTCTGCTCTATGTCTAAATATGGTTCTTCATTGGTGTGAAAGCATATTCCAGAGATCATGGAAGAAGCGATGGTCCTCATAAAGTCAACGAGGGCTGTTTCATGAATGTATCTACATGTAATATTTCCTGTATCTACAGATACATGTAGACTGGCTGTTTGAGAGGCTGAGATACCTTCCTGTTCTTATTTACAGCAGATCTTTCAGGCGTTGGAAGGAACATTAAAGTTTTTGTGCTTTCCCTCTCTGTTTCCAATTCTAGAGTTTAATCTCTGCACATGATCAATTTAAAGCTACTTTGCCAGAGGCAGATGGTGAAAGACAGGCCATACTGTCAATCCAGAATGAAGTTGAAAAAGTTATTCAGAGTTACAGCATGAGAATAAGCGCAAGCAATCCTTACAGCACTGTTACTGTGGAAGAGATTCGTAGCAAGTGGGAAAAGGTAATGTATGCTAAATACATAAAGGACATTGTAACATGGTATTCTAGTTTAGGAATACTGAGAATATTCAGAGAACTTTACAATAAATCTGTAAATTATTCCAGATCATCAGATGCCAGAATGAACTTTCTAAAGTATCTTATGTTCTCCCTTACGTTTGCTAGGCTTTTTTCACAATATCACTTGCTTCCATCACTCAGTATTACCTATGTCCTTTTTGGTGGTGCAAGAGAAGCAGATGGGACAGGGGGTGCTGTCAAAGGAATAGAAAATGATTGTGTTCTTTCTCTCAATATAAACAGTAGTTTGTGTGTCTCCTGTACCCAGCTGCTGCTTTTCACAAATGTCAAAAATTAGCATGTTTGGGACCGTTAATGTTCTGTCCAATTAGACTGAAATTGGCAATTACCTTAAAAAATTACTGGGGAGGTAATAAAGAGAGGCTCCTAGAGTGATCACACAAATTGTATTGCATTAGGAACCAAGACAGGTAATATGCTGAAGGTAAATGATTGTGTAGAATGCATGAATTTACCAAATACGTAAACTTACACAGACAAGAACACACCCTCAATGGGTTATAAAAACCAAGCTATAAGGACTAAATTCAGAATCTCCCAGGGCAATCCAGAAGGGTAAGCCAAAACCAGCAATGTATTAGAGACCTTCAGATATACATGATGGATGGAATGTGTCTCGTTATCCTATCATAATGGCTGTGCTTGAATAAAATGTTTTGCACCGACTATTCTTAGAACAATCATTTAGAGATTGAAAACTCATCTGTGTTTCAAAAGAAAAACAAAGTAACTGCTCTAATAACAGTTCAAGTTAAATAATTGTCTTGAACTTGAGTCCAGTCAGAGGTGAAAATTTATTCGACACTGTCTCCCACATCATCCTCACAGGAAAGCTTAGGAAGTGTGGCTTAGATGAATGGACGGTGAGGTGGATTGAGAACTGGCTCACAGATAGAGCTCAGAGGGTTGTGGTTAGTGGCGCAGAGTCTAGTTGGAGGTTAGTAACAAGTGGTGTCCCTCAGGGGTCAGTACTGGGCCCAGTTTTGTTCAACATATTCATCAATGATGGGCAGAGAGAAACCTGATGAAATTCAACAAGGGCAAGTGTAGGGTGCTGCATCTGGGGAGGAATAACCCCATGCACCAGTACAGGTTGGGGGCTGACCTCTTGGAGAGCAGCTCTGTGGAGAGGGACCTGGGAGTCCTGGTGGACAACAGGATGACCATGAGCCAGCAATGTGCCCTGGCGGCCAAGAAGGCGAATGGCATCCTGGGGTGCATCAAGAAGAGTGTGGCCAGCAGGTCGAGGGAGGTCATCCTCCCCCTCTACTCTGCCCTGGTGAGGCCGCGTCTGGAGTACTGCATCCAGTTCTGGGCTCCCCAGTTCAAGAAGGACAGGGAACTGTCCTTTGCTGGAGAGGGTCCAGCAAAGGGCAACGAAGATGATTAGGGGATTGGAACATCTCTCCTATGGAGAAAGGCTTAGGGACTTGGGTCTCTTTAGTCTAGAGAAAAGAAGATCGAGGGGGGATCTTATTAATACTTACAAATACTTAATGGGAGGATGCCAGGGGGATGGGAGCAGTCTTTTTTCAGTGGTGCCCAGTGATAGGACGAGGGGTAATGGGCATAAACTTGAACATAGGAAGTTCCATCTTAACATGAGAAGGAACTTCTTTACTTTGAGGGTAGTGGAGCACTGGAACAGGCTGCCCAGAGAGGTGGTGGAGTCTCCCACTCTGGAGACATTCAAAACCCGCCTGGACGCTGTCCTGTGTAACGTGCTGTAGGTGACCCTGCTCTGGCAGGAGGGTTGGACTAGATGATCTCCAGAGGTCCCTTCCAACCCTAACAATTCTGTGAATTCTGTGAATTCTGTGAATTCTCTCTCCATGTCAGTCTCTCTGGTCAGGCTGCCCAAGACCATGTTAGCAATCTCTTATGTTAGCACAGAACTGGTAAATAAAATAGTGATCATGTTTCTGGGTTGTCCTTCTGATATCAACCTTCAGACCAATAAGAAAAATTTGTAACTGTAGACTTATTTGTTTCATTTGTTTTTAAACTATTCAATTGTGCCTACTCACACTTAGTGCTTTCCCACTGTAACAGGTGAAGCAGCTGGTGCCTCAGAGGGATCAATCCTTGCAGGAGGAACTAGCCCGCCAGCATGCCAACGAGCGCCTGCGTCGCCAGTTTGCCGCTCAGGCCAATGTCATAGGGCCATGGATCCAGACCAAGATGGAGGTGAGTGCCAGACCCTCACACAGAAGCTGACAAACAAAGCGTTTTATAATTTTTTGTCTCAACAGCAATCTCCATGATAGTTCATCAGCTGTTTGATCCTGAAGTATTTAGCACCTGTTAAGATGATTTTTAAAACTGTGGAAGCTTGAACAAGTGGTACCTTGATGGTGAGCAGGACATGTAGCTTTGAAAAATCAATCACTAAACAATTACTATTTAGCTTAGGCTTTCTGGTTAAGATGATTTTTAAAACTGTAGAAGCTTGTACAAGTGGTACCTTGATGGTGAGCAGGACACGTAGCTTTGAAAAATCAATCACTAAACTATTACTATTTAGCTTCTGCTTTCTGTGAAGGAAAGATACTGGGATCACTGGCATCTCGATAATGATTCCAGAAATAAATGTGCTGCATTTCTTTTGAAGTCTGTTTTCTACAGTAAAATTTATTGTCTCCACTGAATGAAAGTTTTATTACTATTGCTTCTTAGTATGAAAATGTTACATATTTATGTGAAAGTCGGTCAAATTAGCAAATCTGCAACTTAAATTTTGTGGGGCGGGGGTGTGTCTTTGTGTCTTTTAACAGGAAATTGCCCGCAGCTCTATTGAAATGACAGGGCCTTTGGAGGACCAGATGAATCAGCTGAAGCAATATGAGCACAATATCATTAACTATAAACACAACATTGACAAACTGGAAGGAGATCATCAGCTTATACAAGAAGCCCTGGTGTTTGACAACAAGCACACCAACTATACTATGGAGGTAGCCGTTACTCCCTTTTTTGTTAGTTTATTCTGCCCTCTTTGCCATTTAAATACCTTCCCCAGTCCGAAGAGACTGCAACAGAGGATGGAATTTGGCAGACTTTCTGATAATCTCATAAGACTTGTTTTATTTTCACTTATTTTTACTTTGAGTGAAGAAGTACTCATTTAGAAACCAGTCCATGTTTTCTAAAGGCCTTTTTTATGATCCTTGGTCATAATATAGAGTTAGCAGTATGAAAAGGTATCACATAAATAATTAGATCTGATTTTTTGCTTACTCTACTTTTTATACTCTTAGAAGAATATATTTGATTCTTTAATAAATCAGTATTTTCTCTCTCATAGCACATCCGTGTTGGATGGGAGCTCCTACTTACCACCATTGCTCGAACTATCAATGAGGTTGAGACTCAGATCCTCACAAGAGATGCCAAGGGTATCACCCAGGAACAAATGAATGACTTCAGAGCATCATTCAATCATTTTGACCGGGTACAGTACTCCTGCTTTTTCTAAACTAGCAACATTTATTGTTCCCAAAAGCAAGTTTCTTTCAATCCCAAATGTAAGCCTTTTAAAAAAACTCCAAATGCAGTAGCAATGGGCTCCTTTTAAACCAGCAAGAAAGATCAGTTAACAAAGAATTTATAGCCTCATGAAATCATAGCATTGTACAGATACACTAAAGATTAATTTGTACTCTTTAAGTGTAATTCAAAATTATGGTTTGCTAATATGGTTGAGTATTTGTTCAAATAATAGGCAGAACTGGATAAATCTGTGTTTTGGAAAATAGCATGCCCCTTATTTTAAGGCAGTGCAGCATGTTCTATGTACTTGCCAGCGGCTTCCATCTCATTAAATTTAGCTGTAATCTGGATTACATTTTTTTTCTCTTTGAATCACAACTTGTCCCCCTAGAAATAGATTTCTAGGAAATATAGTTGGGGCACTGATAGCTGTCAACGAAAATCCTTTATTTTTCTGGCTATATGTGGGAAATAAGAGGCTGTTTTTTTTCAGTTATCTAATCATGGATGAATAAAAAAGCAGGAAAGAAAACACTATTATGAAGAAACTTAACTCACTCCTTCTGTAAGTTATGTAGTATTCATGGATAGAGAGTTAAAAAGATAGCTACTAATAGACACAATATCAGAATACCTGCAGACAGAGATCTGACATTCCCAACTGGAGAACCATCTGAACATGGGTTAGCTCTGCTGGCTCTGTGCTCACATGAGCCCACCTTCAAAACCAAGTTCACATTTCAAATACTGAAAAAATATTACCATAATGCAACACCAGGCTGTTGTCTTTTTCCCAGTACAGATTCTTGTAGTTAGCAGACTGTGCTTAACCCCTGACTTACATTCTGTTATTCCATGAATCAGCTCCTTCAAATCATTTCGGGCTATAGCAAAATGCCACTTTCTTTTCACTGACATCCTGTTTGTTCAGGTCTACCCAAAATGGTTACCTGGACTTGTACTTCATGTGTATTGGATGCTGACAGTCATCGTTTGCTAAATATTCTTTAGAATATCCTTAATTGTTTAGAAAGAAAAGCAGAATTGCCAAACCTCTGCTTTTTGAAGAAACGCACAAGCATAGGAAAGGTTAGCTACACAAGAACCAGGAACAGATTTTATGGAAAATCTTAATGTGATTCTAGTGCACCATAATTCCTTTTTGTGTTTTCTAAGGAAGCAGAAGATAACATTGCAGAAGCAAAGATAAATTTCCTGGGGTGGAAGGAAGCAGCATACTAAATGGCTTTTCCAATGCACTGGAGCAGATAACTGAGCAATTAGAGCTATTAAAAGCAGACAGAGTACCAGGCGTGGATAAATTACACACCAGTATTTGAGAGACCCTATTAAGGGAAATCAGGGACTTTGCACAAAGATTTGACAGCTCCCTAAAGATAAGGAAGCAAGGTGACTGAATCCTAGTTAATCTTACACTAGATGGCCATTTCTAGCATCCCTGTATCTTTGTAGTTCATAGATGAGTTCTCTGCCACGCTTGAGGCAAGGCTGGTTCAGTGGCTGAGGAGGTGCTACTGGCATTTCTTCGTGCCTCAGAAGGTCTTGAAAGAGGAAGCTAATGCCTACACCAACCAGCCCTATTGTTATGGATCTTTAGGCTTTGCAAATCAATAGATCGAGGCCTTAGTAAAGGCTGTATGGCCTGGAAGAGGGCGCTCACATCACATAGCTGCAGGCAGATTGGAGATGGGCTATGACAAGAATGTGCTTCCCAGCTCCTAAATCCTTGCCTGTCCCTGGCTGTCTCCTTTCTTCAGGCTATAATGAGTGACGGCTTCAGGCAGTGTCCCTTCTGCTGCGGGAAGCCTCAGTGGATGTGTCAGAAGCAGAAGGAGATAGGTGCTTCATCTGTTTCTGTGGCCTCAACAACACAGGCCTGGACTGCAAGTTTAGCTGCAGACCTTACCTTCCCCCATGACAGATACAATCCAAAGGCCTTAAAAAAGAGGCCCAGCCGGATCACATTAAGGGAAGGACCATTTTGCATATGCCTCCTTTAGTATACTCCTTCCCTTAGCATCAGACATGGGAAATTGGTCTAGGAGGATGTTTGCACTGCCGCAGCGCAACAATTGTGTTCTTAGTAGCATAATGCAAGTTAAAGAAAGGAAGAAGGTAAGATCTAAAACCACTCAGCCATCAAGCCAGGCTTCCTGCAGGGGAGAGACAGTAGAAACACTGATAAAAGAGAAGAATATACTGGTTAAATTACACTGTAATTTAATGGCCAGATATGACTCAGTCTACACAGGCAAGAAGGATACGTTGAACAAACATGTTTGAGAGAGGCAGGCTTGTTTTCCATTTTTGTATCCTTCCTATGTCCTTGCACACTCAAATATTTAGTGTTGGTGAATAAAGGAAATGCAGGGTTCTTCAGGGTTACTTTGGGGTACCCACAGTAATGAAGACTCTAACCTTGGAATTTAGATAGAGAAGGCAGTAATGGATTCTTTTGTGGCCTTGATTACCTTACACAGAAATGAAGATGAAACTGGATCATCTGAATGTAAGCACTAACATGAAAAATAATGGCTTTTCCATGTCAGATGGAATTGTATGTAATTATTATTACATTATATGTAATACATTATTATATGTAATTATTATATGTAATAATTTTGTTGCGCTTAGCAGCATTTCTGAATGCCTGACATAGGTTAAAAAATACACTGAAAGAACTGGACTGCTATTCACAATGATGAATAGCCAGAAAAGATCCCAAAAAATAATACTGTCCCTGATGAGTTGGCTTTAAATATCTAAGCACAACAGAATAATTTATGCATGCTATAGCTGTGACTTTTGTGGCATTTCTTCAAATTAAGACATATCTTAATGTTTGACTCTTTGTGTGTGTTAAGGATGCCAGTAAAGTACTAATATGCAGAGTAGCTCCCTTCCCCATTTTAAAGAATGTATTTTGGTACACATAAACCTAACAACTTTTTGTAGAGAGCTTCTAGAAAAAACTTCATTTGCTTATAAATCTTTGGAAGGAACCCCTATCTTCCTCCCCAGGGAGAATAAATAAAGAAATAAAAAACTTACGGATCATAATCCATTATGGGGCTTAATTCTGCAGTTGTTAATCCTTTGAAAGAGAACTAAATAATTGGGTGAATTGTTTTAAATGGCTTTTTTGGGGGGGTACATGTCCCTGATTTTGAAATTGCAGTGAGTGAGCGGGCACCACACACATAAGAATTAGAAGGGCAGGAAGAGTTGTGTTTCTTTCAGTGCGTCCACCAGCAGAGACGTGCTAGCACAGAAAGCTTTACAAGTCATCCTTATTAAAGGCAAGTTGTGAATATACTGCCTCCCTTGGGGCTAGAAGGCAGCCCTCGAGGCTCTTGTGTTTCCAACAGACATGTACGCACACTGGTACCCCAGAGGTCATTCCTGAGGATGTTGCTGCTTACCCACTACTCCTTGCTGGAGGCTGTGCCTAAAGGCACAGTCTAGTTGTAGGTATAAATATAAATCTTTAGCAACGCTGGTATATTTCCTTCCTTAATGTGACTGCATAGAGAAAAAAAAGAGAAAGTGGGACACTGTCTGAATCACAGAAGCTGTTTAGAGGTGTTCAAAATGGTGCATAGCTGAATTATAGTACACAGACAGACTGGGACACCAACACAGATACGTTGCCAGTCACTGGTTTTGCAGTCTTTTTATGCAGGGATTCCTTTTTCAGATTCAGTATATTTAGTAAATTCTAAATAAGATTGCGAAGTATGTGATAAAATATCTGCAGCTGCTCTGCATGTAATATCCTAGTGGCTGTTAACATATTCTACTATTGATTTTTGTGTAAACTACAGATTTCAAGTAGGAGCGTGCAGAATAATAGCATCATGCCACCCTATATTTTACTAACAGAAAAACAACAGCTCACTATTAAAGTAACCACATGATCGGGCTTATGCAGGTCAATTAGCATTCAGGAAACTGAAGGGTGTATTTAAGAATGTATTGCTATGACTCAAAAGCTCATTTGTTTTATAAGACCACATATAAATCACAAAGAGGAAGGAAAAGATTTCTGGGGCCGAACAACGAAACATGGATGGGGATTTCAGTGTTTTACCTATAATGAAACATGGAGGGGGATTTCAGTGTTTTACTTTGTATTGGCAGGAAAAGATGAACAAGGCAAAGTTGTTTATATACTTCAAAAAACTAAGTTCAGTGCTGCAAGTTGGTCTGCAAACAATACAAATAAATACAAAGAACCATTTCGCAATGAGCAAGCCATTGCATGGGCTTGATCTATGCATTAATTGCAAAATATAGTTGCATCCCATGAAACTCTGATATGCTGCAAAGGGAAAGATGCCTTTTTAGGCCATATATGAATCAGTACAAGAATGTGAGAACCTGCTATAGCACACAGCACAACTACTTGGACCCTCACTGGGGAGTCCCACTTAACCAGCTGATGGTTGTGAGTTCCAGCACAACCACCGCACTCCTCTCCTAAAGAAAATGCTTTCTCGGTGGAAGAGCTGGCCTCTCCCTCTCCCGTCTGCTCTTCGCTACCTGTTGCACTTCACTACTGCTCCCATGTGTGGCTGGTTAGGAGCTGATGCACATGCTCACCCCCCACCCCCCTGGTGTAGTCAAATAGCGTATAGTCCTCTACCAACATGTGGCAGAGGAGGAGGGACAGGATTTGGCTCTCAGCTGCCATTTTTATATCGTTTTGTTTGCAATCACACAGTAATACCTTTGGCTTGAGAAATAAAGTAAAATGAGCTGACTTTACTCATAGTGCCTGTCATAGCCTGTCTCCAGGATGGTTTTGGAGTGTTTCAAGCCAGTCTGGATTAACATTTTCAGAATGATAGAATAAACTATTTTGAATGCTTTATAGCAGAAATTATCCTATAAAATAGAAATGTTAAAGGAAAAAAACCACTTCACTGTTATTATGGCTTTTAACTAAATGCTGCTCCAGATTTGCAGCTTTGCTTTGTCTCTCATCGTTGACTTCACATTGTTATTTTTCGTCCTCCCTTTATGGAGGTGGTGGAGGTTGATGCAGAGGGAGTTGGTATAACAGCATGATATGTTAAAAATGCATGGCATTATGAACTTAATAAAGCACCAGTTTATCCTATTGGTATATTAAAGAAACCCAGTGCATTTGTTAAAACTCCTGTAATTTTAATTCTGCATAACTGTACAGAAATTTTCAAAAATAAATTATTCATCCAGCAGGCAAATATGTAGCAGACAGAAAACCTTGGGTCTTCTCCAAACTGTCAGTCTGTAAAATCAATAAGGGTAATAATTTTTCATCTTAGAACATCTCTTTAATTGTATACATGTTAACTCAATCTGAACCTCTGATAGGACACATTTTGTACGAACAGGAAGAAAAAGATAAGCCGGTCTGTTTTTAAGAAGTTAGTGTGACTATCTTGACCTGCAAAATGGAAAAAAATACTGGTTCAAAACAATGATCCAGGTTGATGTGGGGTTATTAGAAGCCATTTAACCTGGAATTCAATGGGGCTTTTTTTAAAGTCAGTTTTCAAAGCAAAACCGTACTATATAGATTATTAAAAAAACAGATAACTGAAAATAAGTTATGTCAGTTATACATTTATTTTGGATCTAGTCAAGAAATCAATTGTTTTGTACTTCTACTCTCTTTTGAGATATGCATATTCAGTTGTTAAGTAATATTATCAGATCAAGAGTGAAGTAACAGTAACTGAGTTGGGAAAATATGTTTTGCCCAGGTCCAGGGATCTTTTTACTGCACCTCACTTTCACTGTATGACTAGAAAATGAAGGAAGCAAAGGGCAGTTCAATAGGATAAAAAAACTGCCTTATTGGCAAAACCGTTAAGAAACCACTTGTAAAGGAACCACAGTTTTAACTCTGTAGTTGAAATAAGGACCATCTTCCAGTAAGAAAAAACCTGAAGCATGAAACTGCAAAAGTTGTATACTTTTTAGGTAATTCATTGCAATATGTTGACATTATGTTTCCGTGAAGTTCTGTAAAAACATGGTTATTAATACAAGAGTAGAATGTTCTTTACTAACCAACTAACCTGATCTGTGATTTTTCTTTCTTTTCACCTTCCCAAATGCATGACCTGTGATTGGATGCTAGGATGAATCTGACAATCTACATGCTGATGAATTTAAAGCCTGCCTCATCAGTCTAGGACAGGTTGGAAATGACCTGCAGGTAGAGGAAACTGATATTGTTCTGTTTCCAGATAGGCCAATATAACAATAGCCAAAGAGACTGTGTGTTTAAACTCCAATGTATTGGTCATAATGCTTTGAAAAGATCCTGCCCCTGGGAAGACAACTGGATTAGATGGACTGTTAGAATCACTTGGAGCCACATTTTTCTATGCATTCTTCAAAGTTTTTTCAGGTTGTTTCTTTTACTTGGTTTGAGATGTTTTATTTGGACTTTACTAGATAACTGTGGGGAGCTCCTATGCTTCTTGCACTCAGACTTGTGCTAATTTTCCTTTCCTCGGGCTCAAGACAAGCTCTCTACTGCTCTCTCCTGATTTAGGATGACACAATTCTCTCCAAATCCCTACATTGTATCACAACACAGGGGAAATGTTTATTTACCTTCTTACTATCATGCCATTTAATGTTTGCTCAGTTCTGAGCCGGGAATGCCACTGATACGTTATTGCCTGAAAAATGAGCAACCTCCTTTTATACAGGGTCTTCAACTGACCTCCTCCTAAGTTTTGCAAGTCTCATCCTTTAAACCAGTATGCACATCTCTGCTGTAGTCAAGGTCTTGATAGCCTTCAGTCAGAAAGAAAATCCCTGTACTTATTTCCCATATGTCAGCAGACAGCTCTCATAGTGTACCTACCTTAGCCTTGGAGTGGAGTATTTGAAATAGTCAGTGATACACTATTTTCAGACTGTTTTTAACTATACTTTTAGTCACAACAGTATCCCACACAGAACCTTTCAAAGATATTTCACGTCAGGGAGGCAGCTTGAGCATCTCCTGAGTTTGACTAGTTTAGTAACAAACTTTTCTCCTTGCCCTTCTCTTTGTCTTCTCTGGTTGTGGTCACCTCCTCTTCTCCTTTATCTCTCCCCTGACCTTTCCTGATGTTACTTCTTGTGGTGAAAATGTCCGTTTCCTGTGTGTAATATGTTAGTTACTTCTTCCTCCTTTAAAACTGATGATGATTCTGGTGACCTGCTTGGGCAATATCAATGAATACTGTTCATACACGGCATCCAATGTGGCAATGGTCTAAACTCATCACCAATCTGGAAATGACCTTGGATTCTTCAAACCTTCCCTTCTATATTCCTTACGTTGTTTTGGTCAACAGAGGAAGAATGGACTGATGGACCACGATGATTTCAGAGCTTGCTTAATTTCAATGGGTTATGATTTGGTATGAATTTTAAGAAACAATGGCAACTGATTCTGCTTACAGCTTATAACATTAACCACAGCAACACTGAAGCTTAGTTAAATTGACAGAATACTAATGATATAATTTACACTACAGATACTAGTTTCTTGTTTCTTTGCTTTTTCTCTATTTTCAAATGGTTAAAAAAGAAGTTAAAAGTAAAAATAGACACTTGAAAACCACATTCTATGGTCCACTGCAATGCTCTTTGAATTAAGGAAACTTTAAAAGTTGAAATTAACAGTTATTAAATGATTTTTTTTCCTTCTCCTTTTCTGTCTGCATGAGTAAGAATGAGTTTGATGCTGTTTAATTCTCATAAACTAGCTTTGGGGGTTGCATTTGCTTTCCTTCACTTATTTATTCTAAAAATTCCCTTTTAGTGGAAAAAAGGATTAGTCTTTGTTGGACTGTCCTATATTTGGCATGAAGTTTTCAGAATTGTTTCCCTTACTTCTTAGTTCGTTGGGTCTGCAAGTGTCCTGCTTCTTGGGCTATTGTTTCACCTCCCTTTGCAGCACCTAAATAACAATGGTTTTAGGAGGGGGGGCGAAATGAAGTGTTAAGTTAAAACAAGTTAAACAGGCATTGAGGGATGGTGGGAGGGGGGAGAAGTTGCAGAATGTTAACTGAAAGGTACAAACTATGTATTTAGGAGAAAGAATACATTTTTCAAAAGCACCTAGTCCTTTTTGCAAAAAAGGGGTGGGCATTTAAGATCCCGGATTTCATTGACTCTGATATTTATGCTCCTAAGTCAGGAAGATGCTTTAAGGACTTTGTAACCACTGGTCCCTACTGGTTCATGAGAGACATGGGCTGTTGGTGATTGATATTACGGTGACCTTTTTTTTTTTGGTTTGGATTCTGTGAAAGGGTGAAGCTGAGTTTGCCCGAATCATGTCTCTGGTTGACCCCAATGGGCAAGGAACCGTCACCTTCCAGTCCTTCATTGACTTCATGACCAGAGAAACGGCAGACACAGACACGGCTGAGCAAGTGATAGCTTCCTTCAGAATCCTGGCTTCTGATAAGGTCAGTCATCATGCTGCTGGCTGTAAGGATTCAATAGCTCTCCTATTCAGCCCCTCTTCAGCCTCTTGCTGAAAGTGATATACAAGTCTCTTAGTAATAGAGAAGCTTTGTTTTCCATTTGTAAGACTTCAGAGAAAGTATTTGCCTTTTCTTCTTGTTTGGAACCAAGACTCTTAGCTGAAATGGGTGCAGAATGCAAGGCTTGGTCTGTATACCCTTATAACACAAAGAGCCAACATAAAATTAGACATCTGAGACAAGACTTAGACAGTTTGTCTGTATAATGGATATATTGTGTGTGCATCAGGTTATTTTCACACCACAGCCTTGATTAGAGGGGAACTCATTCTGCCTTTCATGCTGTTGTCTGGATGTTTCAATGCAGAGTTTGGCCCTTTGGAAGATAGCCTGGGTCAGTTGCACAAGACTATACCTAATTGTGAGCCATGTTGTGACCTGAAAGCTCATTCAACAGAGTGATGCAATGTGGTGTAGCCCTATCCTAGGAGGAGGAGGAGGAGGAGGAGGAGGAGGAGGAGGAGACCTTCTCTAGTTACTGAGTACATGGAGGAAGCTCCTGAATTTGGCATGCTTTTCTCCCCACAGCCAGATCCACTGGGAAGTTGAGTGGTGTGTGAAGATGAAAGGGAGGATAATGGCAACACAAGAGGTTTTGGAAGAGTCAGGGCCATAAACAGTGCTGCCAGGAAACCAATCCTGTGCTATGGAGAAAGGAGAGATCACAGCAGTACAGGTCTATTTGCTGGAGCTCGCCCTATTGATTTTCTCATTCTAGCTGTTTGTATTGATTTTGTGATCTCAGTTACTGTGCACCACATTTTGAATTCCATATGTGTTCTCAGTAGGAATTCATGTGGAAGATGAAAGCCAAGGTCTCAGGAAAAAATAGTTTTCATTACGTTGCTATTTTAAATCATGTCAAGTCTGTTAACAGAGGGTATCCTTCATATCATAATTGCATACCATTAAGAGCAATAATGCATCTTTTTCATTGCAAATATATTAGGACCTCGAAACTAACAGGATCTAACTGAAAATGTGCCTGTCCTGTCACTGCAGAAGGGGCAGTCATGCGCTTTAGAGATACGCGCTACCTATCCATGGATGAGTTCTATCAGCAGCAATCTACCCATGGCTGTACAGTGCTGGGTAGCTAACACACACAGCCACATATCCTATATCCTGGGGTGGGATTTTGACCTAATCAGTTTGTTGGTAGGGTTGTTCCCCTTCAACACATCATTAGGGATGGAATGTACCGAGGGAAATATTTGGTCTCAGGAGAATGGGCAGGATGTCCATGTTTATTAGTCACAGCTACAGAAAAGAAATATACGTTGTGTCTTTGAAGAATACATACTGAATTTGTCAATCCTTTCCCCCCTCCCAGCCTTATATCCTGGCAGATGAGTTACGTCGAGAGCTGCCTCCTGAGCAGGCTCAGTACTGCATCAAAAGAATGCCTCCGTACACCGGCCCAGGGTCTGTTCCTGGGGCTCTGGATTACACCTCTTTTTCGTCAGCACTGTATGGAGAGAGCGACCTCTGATTCTGTAATTGGCCATATTCATGGTAGACACTAAAAATACCCACCTTATTGCTCAGATTGCTTCTCAAAAGCTTTGACAAGCTGATTTAAAAATGAGTTTTACAAATACAGTAGGTACCGTCAGTGTAAAGTGCTAGTAAATAAAGTAACTAGTGTATATTAAAGTGTGCAGCACGCTAGATTTCTGCATTGTTGGTTTTAGGTTGTCTGTCCTATGCAATGCTAGAAAATATACTAAAAAAACCCACAAGATATTAACTCTGGAAATATCTATTCAGAAAATAGAATGTAAAACTTAAGAATATTGAAACTCACAAAACTCACAAAATATTTCTCCATTTTCAAAATGTTTCAATACTGTATATGCTTCTTTTATGATGTTCATAAAGCTATGTTAGAAGTCATGCTTTTTTCTTCCGTAGAGCGATATTATTTTCCTCTAATGATTTCTGATTTTGTATGCTCCTACTGGTGGAATTTAATAAAATACTAAAATGCAGTTTTTCAGGGAAAAAATATATCAACCAAGTAAGGTACTTAATTGCAAAAATAATCCAGAATGCTATGGTTTTGTCTCCTAAATATGGTTTTCTTTTATCCCAAAGAGTTGTAATATAGGGGGGAAAGCTGAAAAGCTGATTAAATTGCAGGTTTAGAGTTCTCTAAGCAGTACTTTGCTTTTAAGCCTTTAACTTTTACAGCTGAGGGAGTACAACTTTTATAATCAGAAATAATAAGCAAGCTAATTTCATGTGAGCTGTTTTGTTTTGAAACCCTCGTTCTTGTCTGTGTTGGGCAGTCTTTGTTTCTCAGTATAAGAAAGCCAGTCCCTTGTTGTAATAGTTCGCAACATTCATCTCTATCCTGCATAACGCAAAATCCCATCTGAGCAAATGTAGTGTGGTCGTCTTGCAGCTTTAACTGTTCAGTGCTCAAATTAGAGTTTGTCTTGACTTTTACTGGATCGCAGGCAGTTCTGTCTGTATCATGCTCTGTGCGCTAGTTGTTGTACTGTTTTTTTCCATCTTGAGAAATGATAGAGAAGTAAAAGCAGTAACTTTTTTACTTGAATCCTACCGACACTGAGGAAATGCAATGTAATCAAACAGAACCATTTACAAATGGTGAAGTGAGCTGTGCAGCCCAGTGCTATTAAAGCAATGATGTGCCTATTAAATAAAGTCTGCTTTTCAAAACCTTATGAGACTCTGTCATTGGCAATCATTTAGAGGTTCTCTCCAAAACCTGGAAATATTTCTGAACATTAAAGGAGGTTTCAGTCTGCTAAAAGTAAAAGTTCAAAAAATATGTCATGTATGTCTATACACTGTGTTTGCATGAACAACAGTCGCTACATGCTGGAGGGACAGGTATGGCCTCATGAAGTGGGATGGAGCTCAGAATGCGTGGGACAGAGTTTCCATTTAAGCCACCATAGGTTGTTAGACTCCCAGCTTGCATTGGTTTCAATGAGACCTGGGCGCTAATGCTTTTGAAGGTGTGGGCCTTAACTTTCCTGTATCTTTTTCCTCATGTGCAGATGTTATGTACATAATGATGCTTTTCACTCTGAAATCTCTGAATGATTCAAATTCAGTCCTAAAGCAGGCACCCTGCACAGGTAAGGTGCATGTAGTGGGAGCAACTTCAAAACAATCCCAGAGGAGACAGGCAATGACCAAATACCTCTTCCTCCTCCACCACGTGTAGAAAGGCCGGCAGAGCACTTAGAGAAATACTAGGGCTACAATCACATCTCCTACAGTGCATGTGCAGCCCCGCGCACAGCCAGAAGCTGCTACTGCCACTGCTGATACTGACATGGTGCAGTGCCATCTCTTTTTGTGATGACAGTGCCCGCACGAACTAAGTCAGTAAGCTCTGCCTTAAAGCAATGGCATTTCCAGCTAAATGGCTGCTGGGCAGGCTGAATCCTGTTGAAAAGTAAATCTGTGTATCTCTCATTGTCACAGTTTAATGCAGCTCGAAGAATAAAACATTGAGCTTCCAAACATGGCACAAAAGCAAAATCTCAGTGCTACGGGCAGGATTATGCGAAAAATTGGCACAGAGACAGTTTATATCTGACACTTCTATAGGGTGTCATTCATGTTCCCTACCTACTAATTTTTATATTGTGATATTCTTCCTATTTTTAATAGAATGGAAGAGACTTTTAAACTCCTCCTTTAGCTAAATGTTCTGTTGATCAAAGCATGTGAGAGATAACGTTATCAGCAGCAAGAAAAAAGACTTTTGCAAAGTAATTTTTTAATTCCCATATCAGGTTTCTAATTTCTAAAGTAGAGTGAACAGAACCAGTGGCAGAGAGCTGCAGGGATTAATTACCCACCTGTATTTGCCTAAAATTGTTATACTATATTTATTACTTTAATGTCTTTCAAGTAAAAAAAAAAGGTTTATCATGAAATTATTTCTCCCAGCATCAATTATTTTTAGGGTAACGATTAAATAAGTAAGCTGTGTTATTTTACCCTGAAGCGGGTGAAATTGAAGGTTTATTAAAACATTCTGTGGTCAAGTTCCAGGGCAACGGGTTTAACAGAGAGATTTCCTTTTCTGCTAAGGCTCCATTTTTAATAGGCAGCATTTGTATTTTTCTGTAGAGTCACTCTGTTTACACTAGGGATTAATGGCTTCAGTGGCATTTTCTGTCTATGCAATTCTGGCAGCAAACTAGCTTTACTATATAAAAGCACAGTAACTGAGCCCAAGGTAAAGAATGTACCAATCACAGGGACCAAATCAAGCTTCAACAGGTGAAAGTACAGGATTATTTTGATGATCATGTGAAAGAAGGTTATAGAATAAATTAAAATTTAAAGAAGTCAGTAAGGTTTTAAATTGCTTTAATGACTGTAATACAGATGTCTTCTGTGACTTTACACGGATATAACAATTCTTTGAAAAACTTCCTGCCAAGGCGATCTTGATTTTGTAGTTATCCCTTTCAGTCACTGATCTTTAGAAAGGTGCTGATGCTGGTAGAAAAGAGTGTTGCAGCTCTGTGCCACCTTCATACCTCCTTTCTTCATATACAGAGTTTCCAGCACTTTTTTCTTGCCTACTGGCCACAAAAAGCTTGGATCAGAGCCGCTCCTAGCGGCTTTTATTTTCATTAGAACGTCCTGTTCAGTTCGCCCACTTCTTGGAGGAGACCATGTTCTTTTATTCAGGTAGTTCCCGATGTCTGTAGAGATTATACCAGACACAACGGGTCTCAGCGAAGGAGGAAAATAGTTCCTGGTAGCAGCTGGATTTGGACAGTTAGCAGTTTCCTCTTTTGATTTAAATGACTTGTGTTTAAGAGTAATTCTGTCAGGAAGTAGTTCTTTGATCGTCACTAGTATATGAACAGGCCCTCAGGAGCACGCCTCTAGCATTGGTAACGGTGTCAGTGTTTTTTGGTGTGCTTCTACAAACAGTTCCGGTAATATTTAGATGAGAAAATAATACTTAGATAACAGGTGATACTTCTTTGAAGAACATTCATCATTTAATTTTGCCAAATCTAAGTCCTTGGTCCTCATCTTCTTCAGTTGAACTGTGCCTCTTGGTGTCCTATGGAGTTCTAGACTTTTAAGAGAGGAACAAGCCTGGGTCGTTCTTCAAAAGAATAAAGGAACAAAGTCGGTGAAAGTCTGATATAAACAAAGAAAGCAGGGAATAATCTGTATGAAAATTACTTATAAAGAAG